GACAACGGAGTGAGCTTCCAGTCGTTCTCTTGTTTCAAACAACCCGGTTCGATACTGGCCAAAAGTTGCAGACACTCTAACCAGCCGTATGCTGAAGCGTAGTGAGCCGGTGTATTTCCCGACGAGTCACCCTTCATGGTAAACCAATTTACTAAAACACAGGCATAATTTTAAACAAAACTTTTTATCTGTCAGAAGTTCGCATCGATATTTTTTTTCCCGAGAACGTTTTGGAATCTATCGCAGAGCACAGGAAATTTGAGAGCATAAATTCTGGCCTAATCAATTTCAGAACGAAAGAGGACTACACTTCGAATCTGTAGAACCATTCACTGGAGGAAGCAAATTACGCAAGTCTGGGTTTCGGCCAATCTTATAAGAACATATTCCATTCGTGTGTTACATATATAATGCGTTAATAAATGAGCCTTTCTGTGCTACGAAACTTGGCTGAGATTGACCGTACTGAATTCCCAGTCTTAGCAGGTTTTTACGAAGCAGAAATATGGAATTTTTTTCTGGGGAGTATGGTCTGAATTTTTAAAACAAGGTTGAGTTCCGATATTCCATTGCTGAAACTTCCACAAAAACTTTTTACTTCGTTTCCTTCACATAACTGCAAAAACAAGTTGTTGCCATTGGAATAATAGGAACATTTGGACCACTTCAAAATTGAGTGCTTCTGTAAGCGCTCACTAAAATTTCCGCTTACTTCCTCCCTTAATTTAGTTTTCTCTGACAACTATACTTGCAAATTATGTGATGGAATATTCACTATATCACGAAACCATTTATTTTATTTTACATACAAGATTATCTAGATATTCTAGCCCAACAATAAGCACCTTTACTGACATGGATATGTGATGTTTTTTGGTTCTAGACAACAGCTCATAGAAGAAATTACTCAAAAACCTTGAGCAGGTCGGCTCCTCTAGCTAACAGCATCGCAGCGCAGTGCTCCTGACCGTTTAGGACGGAATGACAGAGCGCAGTGCGTTTTTTCGAGTCCTTCGCCTGAATCATGGCACCATGCTCAACGAGGTACTCGGCAATAGGAAGGTCCCCAAGTCCACAGGCAATCTGCAAATGAGAACAGCGGTTCCGTTTCAGAATTTAGTCCATTTTCGACCTCTCCCGCCTGTTGCAATGCTCGATGAATTCAAAATTGAGGCAGAATTGATAAGAACTGCCACACAATATTTATCTCTATGTTCTGCTATTGCATATAGTAGTGTGGGTCATAACAGAACTTCTACTTTACCAGTATGGTTGGGTAGTTTTTTCCTTCCTAAAGTATGGAAGGGCGTTAGTAGCTCAGTGGCTAGAGGCGCCCTACCATACATGAGATTAATCCCCGCGCCGGTGGCTCACCAATCCTTTCATCCCTCCGGAGTCGGCAAATTGGTATCAGACTTGTCTGGGTGGATAACAGCACTGGCTCGATACATCGGTAGGCCAGCGCGAGTCACTGTAAAAGGCTGATATACAATCAACCACCTCTAACGATGCTTAATGAGGTGAAATGCATGGCGCATACCCCAGGAATTGATTAACACCGGGAGTTTTATCCTTTTTTATCCAAGAGTATCCAATTAGACGTTCCACGCCGTCTTTAAGTTGTCACTATGTTTAGCCGCCGATTTTATGGACATCAATGAAGTTTGCCGCATAGTCATACAAGCGCAGTCATTCCTGGCGCAGTTTCACTTTTATCAGGGGACCTACATAGAAATGTGAAACTCCTGCTCAGCCTGAATGGCATAACAGACATCAAGTAGCATTCTCAAGGATAACATCAATGCAACGTTTTTCAAACAGAACAGCATAGGTTCACAAAGTGCTACGGCTAGTGCTACACATCTCGCCGCTGCTTTCTTCCTTTCACCCTGTTCATTATTACCTGCGTCTGACAAAAACAAGTTAGTATAAGCCATTATTAAGCCACAATGCAAATCTAATTGATTCACAATTTCTTTAGTAACGGAGATAAATTTTTCTTTGTCCATTTCCGGATTTTCGCCGCTTTCAAAAACGTTCCAAGTTGGTGCGTTTGTACAGTTTCTGTCGTTGCTGCACTCGACAAAACAAAAGGATTATCTATACATGGATGTGAATGGTTTTATACGCCTGTGAAAGTGAGATAACAATATTGTGTTGTCTCTGGTTTAGAATCAAAGGACTTCAATCCCAAGCAATACTTACCTTGAAGACATTACACTTTTTTTCCTAAGGTTTAGGTAGGTAATCATAGTGAATCATTGGAACCACTGGAATTCTAACTAAATAAACTAGTTGAACCTCCGAACATTGAAATTTGGGGCTCGTGTAGTACACGAATTCGGAGTGTACTACAATACACATTGGAGCGATGGCCGGTTCGTTCCCGCGCTCCGGGCTCAATAAGCGTTCTATTAGTCCGGGGTCGGCACATTGGTACCAGACTTGCCTGGGAGGATGGGAGCACTTGGTCGATGGCTCTGTAGGCCACCATGAGTCACTGTGCAAGCCAAATATATGCTCGATCACCACTACGACAATGATCAACGCCGAAAGCCTTTTTTCTTTATTACCGACTATTTCCTGGCACCTAACACTTTAAGATAATACTGTTAAACAAGAATACTCACCATGAGCGGCGTCAATTTGTAGCGTTGAGTGGATGTTGGATAATCTACAAGTACACCCTTATGCGAAAGAAGAGCTGCTACCGCGTCTAACCTGAAAGTATAGGAAGACTAAGCATACACGCAGGACTCATATTCACGAGAAGTCAACGATCTTGTCATGTGAACTAGCTAGGGATAACAAAATTAACGAGAACGACAAGGATGAAAAAGTGCAACAACAATAATGAGATGGCAAAAATCTGCAGCTGTAGAAAACTATTTAAAACTTACGACCTTCAAATGGAATATTATTTGAACAAATGAATTGACAATGTTGCCTTTTTATTTCCTGCCTATTACAAATTTTCACGGCAGGTTATTATGTGTGACTCAACCACAATAATGCTGAGATATTTGAAAAACACCGAACCGCGGTGACGAACGAACGTGCTATTGTCCTTTCCAAGGAGTAACGCTTTCACAACCACACCATGAGGGGCCTTCGTTTCGCCTGTTCCTCAGCTAGTAACATGATAACCTGCCGTGAAAAATTGTAAAAGGCAGTAAATGAAAAGATAACATTGTGATTTAGACTACAGCCTCAACTTAACTGGGTTGTTGCCGATTTGGGCTCCCCAGATCAACCTGTTGACGGGTGATTGCTGATGGCACTGATCGATAGAACTAGCTGAGAAACAGGCGAAACGAAGGACCCGCATGGTGCGGTGGTGTACGCGTTATTCCCGGAAGGGATAATAGAGCGTTCGTTCCCCACCGCAGACACCTGCGATCCGGAGTTTTGCAAATATCTCAGCATTATTGTGGTCAAATGAATTGAGTTTCATTGCTCGCCCATTGTTTTAAACGAAACGAAACAACAATTACTACCATTAAATAGGCGGTTGCAAGCTTTCAAAATACAGTGGGAAAAAGTTGCTGATGTTCAAAAAGCAGTACCTCTGGTATTGCACAGCGAGACAAAGCGCCGTATATCCATTCCTATTACGAGCGTTGATCAGAGACTTTTCAGGTTTGATTGCTGGAGAGTCCTTGTCGGACGCTTCCAGGTTACATATGGCATCTAGAAGGACCTAGAATGCAATACATTTGCTAAACCAAGGTGTGCCTTCCGATTTTTGAAAACCAGTACTGATGAATAGATATTTTCGTAATGGTTCAACAATTAAAGTCCTCCGACTGTTTTAGTTTTGCAACACTAAGACTGCGTAGACTTCGAATAGAAAGTTATCTAACATTAATCCACAACAATAAACATGCAAATCACTATGAGTCGAAAAGTCGATGGTCCCAAGACAAAGTTTAGGTGGGCTAGAAAAGGCGAAAGGAAGCAAAGTGAAGAAACTAACATAGGAGGCATAGAAAGACGATAACCTCATAAAGATTGGTGGCAATATATACCCGGATGTTCTATAATATTCTTCAAGTGTGATAGAACGATGAATGACATCTCCGATAAAAATTGCAGAAAATTCGAAAAATACGCTAAGGCTGCCAGTTTTCAAATCTATTGATTGACCTTTCGTCCTAATTCACAAATACTCGAAGGTAGTTAGAAGCGTATCTCAGCTCACACTGAACTTAATGAATTTAAACGAAAAGTATCGGAATCCCAAGACCTTCGCACATAAGGCACAAGTTTCCATATTCAACGGCGATAAAACGTGGGATAGTACGGATATCTGAATTCAAATAAACATAAACTGAAGATTACAATTAGCGCAGTGGCTGGTGCAGTACATGAGCAATCTAGGGCGCTGGTTCGACCCCTTCCCAACTACCTCATCCAGTCGAAGAGGGAATGCCTGACTGGTTACCTCGAAGATTGCAATGGGAATCTCTAGGATCAGTATTCATCAGCATCCATAGAGAAGATCAGAAATCCTTAAGAAGCAATCAGAACAGCACGCAAAATGTTCGAATAACTTCGCAGTGGACGATAAACTTGAGGAAACGAATCGAATGCAAGAAGTATGGAGACCTGTACAGTAGTCTTACGAGGGGCCCACTTCCAACTGTTGGTACGTGTCGTCGATATGGGAAAGGGTGGGCAGATACAAGAAATACCGAATTAGACTCTACATGTATTGTGAAATGCTTCCATTGGATAAAAATAAAGCAAAACCTGTTCCACAACTTCATAATGTTCTCTACCAAAAAGTCCTACAGCCATCGAAAATCGTTCGTTGTCGAAAAAGCTAGTACTCCCGTGTTCAGATCGCGGACAAATCCTACTGATTTTCCAGCTTCTGTGAAACTATCGGTGGTCGTGTGCCTGCTAACACTTCTCCACAACTTCCAGGAAAATATTTTCACCAAGTAGGAGACCGACGAAAACACCTTCAGAAAAACTATCGTTTCGAAACTTCAATTTTATTTGTCGTTGAAACTAAGTGTGCTAACCTTATAGATAAACTTGTATGTTATTCGCAGACTTTTTACTTTGATATAAATGGGACTCAGATACAGACCATGTGGTTCAATTTTTCTTTCCTCAAACCCCACCTTAATAGTCTCCTTTCGTCCAGCACGAGCTGCCACATGTAGTGGGGATTCATTCTGTTTATTGAGTACCGATGGAGTGATGCCATTTCTCAAGAGGAATTTCAGCGGCTCAGCTCCTTCACAAACAGCTGCGTAATGGATCGTATACCTCAAGAGAAATCATTGTTTCTGCTCCTTTTCAAAGCAAATCCAGTTACAACATGTATTTGTTTAATAAAATCAATTAAAACGAATACGAGCCAGTTATTTGAATCTGGAATGTTTATGTTCGGTTGTATCGTGCGGAGACGTTCAAGGATCTGAAAAGCAACCATCGAATCCGATTAGAAAAAAAATAATGCAATAAACGAGCTGTAAGGAAAACTAAAACTTCCAGTACAGGTGATTACGTCATGCTCCTTCTTAATCATTTACGGTGACACTTTTAAAACAAAATAACGGGAAAAAAACTATGGTTACGATCATTGCGATTCCAGTTAAGAAAATGTATGAAACAAGATTTTAATTGTTGTTTAAAAACAAAATTTCAAGCGCATCCTCCCGACGGTTTGCCACCTCGTCGTGGCTGGGAGGGTGTCGGGCTGCGATGTACAGCGGGCGGGATTCATTCCCTTGCAGGGCCTCCCAAGCTGAGAAGTCCGGCGCTTCCCTCAGGAGGCACAACTAAGAGTAAACCAATACCAGGATTCACCACCGCCCTGATATGAAATTAGTCGCATGGGGGCAAATCTTTCTTTGATGCACAAGGGCTGCGACTGCTTGTGGTGGTGAGGCAGACTTTGCCCAGGCTGACCTCGGGATTCCAGAGAGCCGCAACGGATAAACCAGCAAATCCCCGAAAAAATGGAGATTATACTGGGGCCCGCACAATCAGTGAGAACAGGCCATCCAAGTATTTCAAGCGTATAGTAAGCGATAATACTGAGGTTCACCAAAGAACTTCTAGAGGAAAAAGAGCTTCATGTGATTAAGCTTCTTATATCAATACAGAAAGCTTCTTATCAACGACTTTGTCAAACTTCGCTTTTTTCGTTCCAAAAGATGATGTTCATAAAACAACAAGGCGTGATAGATGACATCCTAACTAAACAAACCTTGACATTCGGATTGATGGCAGCCGTATGTAAAGGAGTAATGTTCGCATTGCCATAACCCTTCTTTAGTACCGAAATCGGAAGAATTCGCTGCGGTAACGAGGCATCTGTTCTGCAAAGACATGACTGTCAAGTAATCGACAAGAAAGACCGTCAATGAGCAATTTCTCCCACAGCAATGTCAGCCGATGAAGATCGTTCATGTTACACCTTGCCGGTCCCTCGGCGATCGCACTGGCCAATTCCCTTAGACCCACTCGAGCTGCTACCACCACCATACCATCCATCGCGTGCATATTAATATCTATGATAGACATCTTCATGGAGTTCGAGAAGGAACTATAGTTGCGAAGATAAGTTGTTTTCTTTTTTCTGACAAAAAAACTGCTCATAAGAACTTTTGAACCTTCCTATACCCGGCCAACCCACAGGAACTAACGCCTGGCTCCTTGGATAACTTCACGATATCTTTGTAGCTGAAGCCGCTTTCCACAAGACTAACTAAACCATTAAAGCTGCCATTGGACGCTGACCCATACTTCAAGAACGCATTGTTTCCTTCACGACCACCTAAAGCAATTTTCATTTCTATGGACATATTCTGATAACATTTGAGAAAAGCATCATTTGAGATCTTAATAAAAACAAGTAGTATGACACAAAAGAATGCAACACTTGTTAAAATTCGCATTTATCCTTATGAACGATCTGTTGATAAGTGGAAGAGCCGCTGAGAAAAAATTGACTAATAAAGCTTAAGACAGTTTACTATAAGCTGTAACTAGATGATACAACGAAATCACATACTGCAATTACACTTAACTTTACCATTTTCAGAAAGAATAAATGATTGCCACGCTTTTTTTTTCAGCGAATGTCCGTACATAAGGCCCCTCCTAATGGTCTACCACCTCATCATGGATGAGAGGTGTTCCTAGATGCCGGGCTGCGATGTACAGAGGGGGATTCATTCCCCTGGCAGTATCTCGCAAGCTGGGAAGTGGACTGATGCTTCCAACAGGAAGTCCAGCTAAGAGTAAAGCAGCACCAGGATCTACCACCATCTTGGTATCAAACTAGTCGTATGGTAGCAAATTTCCCTTTGATCCACAAGGACGACGACTTCCTGTGGTGGTGACGACCTGGGGCCAACTTTGGCCAGGCTGACCTCTGGGACTCCAGGGAACCATAGTGGCTAAACCAGCAAAACTCCGAAAAAATGGAGATTTTGCTAGACCTCGCAGAACCAGTGGGGACATCAAAGTATCAAAGTAAGTATTAGAAATATATCCATGGAGAAAAATGCTACAAACATTGCTGAGAGGCAGGCGAAACGTAGGACCCGCATGGTATGGTGGTGAACGCGTTACTACCAGGAAAGGAGAATAGTGCGTTCGTTCTCCGCCGAAGACACCTGTGGTCCGGAGTTTTGCAAATATCTCAGCATTATAGTAGCTACAGACATAGTTAAGATTATCATTTTTTGCTTCGCAAATTTACAACTGTCGGTGTAATAAACAAAAAGTGGACATAATATGAAACATTTACACGAACTAGTCCAGTCTAATTCCGAAAAGGAACAAACCGCGTGTCATCTCTATTGCTCTCGTCGCACGACCGATCATGTAAAAGTTCGACTGGCCAGTACTTTTCTGAACAAAAAAAAATTGAATGCAAGAAAGCTTCTAAACTTCGTCTCCTCCCACCCTCTCGAGAAGGTTTGGTTCTTTTCGTGGAGCTTTGGCCTTGTTCAGTTCAGATTTCAGCCTGAAGTACTCTTGTCGCACAGCATCGTTCCTGCACTGAATCGCTACAGAGTCGGCTGATCGGGAATCAGCGTAAGAAAAACTGGTTTTACATGCATTGAGGTCAACGTTCCTGAATAAATAAAAATATGTAACCTGAACACTACAGATCAGCCCGCAAAGCTATTTACACAAAAATTAAAAAGTTATGAAGTACCCGGTAAATGACGCGCAGTTTAAAAGCGGAAATAATTCTTTAAATTATATTTCACTTCACTCTTGAAGGAACACATGGTGATATATACTTACTGCCGCACGGTCCTTGGCGCTATATGTGATTGGAGTCATGCTAGCTAACCCTTCTGCTGTTCGTTGAACAATTTCCTTTTCTCTCAACTTTTTTTAAAATTCTAAATTTGAAAACACCACACATATAGCAAGAATGAGCTGAAAATATCAATTAAACTCCCTTGAACTCCCTTGAATGCCCATCGCCACTGATCGTGCGGGCTCCAGCAAAAATCCCACTTTTTCGGAGTTTAGCTGGTTTATTCGTTCGGCTCTCTAGAATCCCGAGGTCAGCCTGGGCAAAGTCTGCCTCAGGTCGTCACCACCACAGGAAGTCTCCACCGTTGTGGATCAGAGCGAGATTTGCCACAATGCGACTAGTTTGATACCAGGACGGTGGTGGATCCTGGTATTGGTTTACTCTTAGCTGGGCTTCCTGATAGAAACGTCAGACTCCTTCGCGGCTTATATATCGCAGCCTGACACTCAGAAACACTTTCCAGCCACGATGAGTCGGTAAACCATTGGGGAGCAATAAAACTTAGGTGATTTGAAAAACTCTTGAGCATAAAATGGAAGAGTGAAGTAGTTTTAGAAAATACCTGCGTTCCACACTCATCAGCCTTTTCATTTCTTTCATATTGCCTCTAATGATGGCTCTAATGAGCAGTCGCGAATTCGTGATAAAGCTCACATATTCCGGAGATTTTGTCGAGATGAAGAAGGGATTTTCCTAAAGACGACAAAAGAAAAACGAAGCAGTACTATGTTAAGTGAAAATTACCTTATACTCTTTGATTCCGACACGAGTAGTGAGGCGGTCATTTCCTACCTTGGAGATTCGCTTGGAGACTGCGTTCTGCATAGAAATTAATCACCTCAACATCAATCAAAAGAAATTCCTACCATGGAAAGCACAAAATCAATTTTTAAGACCAAAATAACCACAGCAAAAAGCCAAAAAACAACAATAGTAAAAATCCTAAACTTCTATTGAACGAAATAGTTAAAAATCAAATCGTCATAATAAAACTGGCACATAGATTTGCTGCTAGGTGGTGGAGTAACAGACAAATATCAGATACTTCGGAAATCCCAAGTACAAGGGCAAACAACTGAAACGTGTGCAGTGACAACGGCGTTTGAACTCATGGTCAGAAGCCAGCGCACAAGGACCACCGCGATATACGCGCCCCGTTTTTTTAGGTCGGTAACGTCCCGGTTTTAGCATGATCCCTATAGAGGTCATACCAGCCATCGAGTTTCCATCGTGTTGCGAAATGATTGTTTCTGAGGTCATGTCGATGCGTAAGTGTAAACGAGATGATTATATCCCCGCCCTAAAAAAGCAGTCTAAATTTTCGGCGGAAAAATTTACACTGGTTTTTCCCGACTTTTTTAGAAAATCATCTCATTTTGCTAGTGGAATAATCTGGAAATAGGTGAATATTCTCAAGCGCAACAAAAAATTATTCTAGCTGTCTTAATTTGGAATAAACTTTCAAGTATACTGGAAGTAATCCTTTGAATTATCCTATCACCTCATTTTAGTGCTTTCCTTAATGGTCCAGCTAGTCATTTCGTAACGAAAATTCCTTTGTATTTGAAAATCAAGAAAGTAAAACTAAATAATCTAAATTTATCTTTAAAGGAAGTCGTTTACGCAGTTCTGAAATTGAAAACGATTCTCGGTCCAGCGGCAAGAAAAAAGCCCTCACCGTTTTGTTCACATGGATCTTTTCCATCTTTCTTTTCGCTGATCTTTTCGTCTCAACATGGCTTTTCTTCTCGATCGCCACTTCTTTCACCTTTTTGTTGCGATTCTTAATGTTAACATAGCGCTTGGTCGAAGGCTTCCTAGTAAATTCCGGTGCAATATGAAGAAAAGTTGGTTTTCTGATTCTTGTAGAGTGTCGCAGTCCAACTAAAATCAAATAAAAAGTGATAAGTTGTAATATCAATATTTGACGTCTTAAAATCCTTGCCAAATTCTTAATGAGAAAACAGTTCCAGTAACAAGTCATCAGTTCTAAATATGTATAATTCTATTCCAAAGCTCGATTAACCTTTAGAAGATCACAAGCTCATCTACAACTTTTTAAATAAAACACATATTCAATATCCCTGGCCAGTCTTCACAAACAGACCGGGTGGCAGAACAACTTTCACTTGACTAGTACTGTGCTTGTTGGAGACATTTTTTCAATGCAGTCCCGAAATGGCTTGGCCATGGCGTTCCCACATCATCGCTATATGGCGACTTCGCTGCACCAAATGGAGGTTCTCTGCACCACTATTGCGTTTCCTCCACTATCCAAGAAAAATGAACCCTTTGTCTATATCGGAGTTCAATACCACGGAAATAAAAACGTTGCTACGGTTACCATAAACGGCAGCAAGGTTTTCTCTCTCTCAGCAAGAATTCTCAGCAAGTATGGAAACCGGCTTCATCAACGCACAGGTTCTCAAACCACTCTAACGCCTATTTAACGGTAATGATATTAGGGAAGCGTGGCATCTGTTCACACCTATCTACTTTTTTTTACGTGACTCGACATCACAACTATGGTGCAGACCCCTGCACGTCTTGCAATCTATTCGTTTTACTTGCATTCAACATCCAGTAAGTTCTTCTATTTCGTTGTCGGTGTTGTCTTGACGCAACCACTTACTATATGTATTTATGTGGTCTTATAAACTGATCTTCTTTAGCTGACGCGAGGTTGGTACAGATCTTCGTCGTCGTTGTCATTGTTTTCGATGTTATTGATCGATGGCTGACGTTTCGGCGACATCGCCTTCCTCAGAGCCTGGACGTACTTTATGTCAAGAATACTTTTATTATTCGGTGGAAAAGAAGGTTAAAGTATTAATGAAGATCAAACTTTCAAATAGACGCCATATTGAACAGAAAGGCCACTCACCGTGATGTTACGTGCGGGACTGGCCCACACATAGTTCACTTGGAATCGCGAGCAAGACACGCCCCGGGGTCAAAATATCATTTTGAAATAGGGCGCCAGGTATAGTGATAGTGAGGCTTCCGGTTCATCTTTGGATTTTTGAAATTTATCCAAAACGCCTCAAGAGTTTTGCGCGTTGATGTTTTTGATTCCTGCGCTAAGATCCGCACATTCACTTCAAAATCATCGCCGTTGTGCTTTTGTACCCTATGCGTACCTAGAGGGGTGTTTAAACGCATTTTAGCTTTCCCATCTAGTTGTTCTTTTATGGGAACACAAAGTGGTCTACCCGTTTCCCCGATATATTCCTCGCCGCATGCATT